ATGGATATAGCACAACTTTATTTTTCACTTTTAAGAGTTTTTACGGTAAAGGTTTGTATACATAAACATTCATTTTAAACTGACAGACTATTTAAGGGGCAGGAACTCTAAATTTCACGTTTTTCTCGGATAGTCCCATTCCTAGATGGTTGAGAGCCATGAAAACTCTCGAATTATCCCAAGTTCTAAAACGTCCTGTATGGGATTCGAACCAGGATCACCCACATACATGATACCACCTGAGGTAATGGTGCTCTCACATTATTAAAAAGGAAACGCCTCAAGCTTGACCAGTGGTGTGGAAATCCAAGGTTCGAATCTAAGTGAAGTAGCAATATTTTTTCTCATCTTTCTTGGGTTTTATGTACGTCCTCTATTCTCTGTTTTGTAAGTGGGCGTTCAAGGATTCGAACTTAACAGTTTGTTCTTCTCTGGGAGATACATAATGCTTTAAGCTGTCTTGACAAACTTACAACAGACTTTCAATTCATAATTATTACTGTAAAGTAGAACAATCGCCACCGAGACTAAATATATTTCAAGAAAGTAAAATATAAACGTATTGAAAACAGTGTTCAACGCTATCCCCAACTTAGGCTTCTTTGTGAACATAGTTTAGAAAAAAAAATACGTCAAAGAGATTCATCTGAGCACATCCCGACATGTGTAACTAGAGAATCGATTAAAGTAAAGCTTGTCCCCCCCCCCCTCCCACCATCTCATTTCAAACTGTTTGACCAAGCGAGCAATATCCAAAATCATTGTGGGGAGATACACACGCTCAAAAAGAGAGAGAGGGAGAGAGAGAGAGAGAGAGAGAGAGAGAGAGAGAGAGAGAGAGAGAGAGAGAGAGAGAGAGAGAGAGAGAGAGAGAGAGAGAATGAGAAAGAGAGAGGGAGGGGGGGGGGGGGGGATCATTGATGAGCGTGGTTGTCACAGTTGAGATTCAGATATGTTTTTCTGGAAAAATAAATAACAGGCTGTTATTGTCGTGATCGGTGCATTTGGAAAGGGGGTGGGGGTAGGATATATTTTTATTTTTATAAATTAATCAATTTTTCATGGAAACGCTTTCATCCAAGAAGATCCAGGGGCTCTAACTGGTAACAGATAATATTATGAATTCACTTGTACTTCATTTTTTACCTTTCAGGCTTTCACCCTCTATTGCAATTGAGATGCAGTTTTCTATGGTAGACCAACTCTGTGGCTTTTTCATCAGAGATGTGGTTTCTTAGGGTTCCCATTGACTCCCTAAATCCATCTTTTGCGTGGCCTACCTTTTGTTTTGTAGACGGAGAGTGCAATCGTAAACATATAATGTGGTTGTAGATGTTAAACGTCCCCACTGACACAAATTTAAACTGTTCAGGAGTCGGTCTTCTTCAACTTAATTAACCTGCCACCGTCAGTCCTCGCTGGTAGGGATATAAAGTCCCAGCAGGCAGACAGAGATATTTAGATAAAAAGTCTCTCAATACGGGAATCGAACTCCCGTCTTCTGCGTGAGACAAGGCACCAAATCTCAACGACGATGAGGCCAGTGATAGATTATTCTACTTTAATAAAACGTTAGTGACATTACATGTCGCTACATCAAAATCATAAAGTTCTATCTGACATTTTTGGTCTTTTGAGTTTTATAAGACCATGAGGTTAAAAAATCAAATGTTTTATTTACCCTATCGAAATTGTAAGATTATTCAGAGTCATTATATAAGCAGTGTTGATAGGGGCGTTAAAACCATACCATTTCACCCTTTTTTAAAGAGTCGTTATAAAGATATTCAAAGAAGAGTGTGCGAAAAAGTTTGACGTGTTGTGAAACTCAACATTTTTTAATTTCAAATTTATACAAACTAGAAAGTGAGCAGATAGAGCTTTGTAGTTCTACGGTAGCAAAATGTCAAAAGTCTTATCTTAAATCTGAAATAATCAGGTACGTCGAGCCAGCAGTCACAAGAACCTCTGAGTTTTATTTAATGGCCTATAAAAACGTAAACGAAGCTGTCATTTTTTTCAACAAACACAGATGAAATTATGTGCAGTTGTAGATGCAGACAAAGGTATACTTTTAAAGTTTGATCCTGAGATCTATTCAGCGTGTGACAGAAATGTGTAACAAGAATCATTAAAAAAATTGCTTGAGTTTCTTTGACATTGATTTGGTCGAACACCATGATAGGGTAACAACAATATCTATGCCTATTAATATTGATTAATTAATTTATGACACTCTGAGCTTTAAAAAGCAGCACACTGTTGTTGCTGATAGTTTGTGCTTTATTTTTCTAGTTATCCACACTTGTAGAGACATGATGCTGTGGCAAATAAAACAAAATTGAAAAATAGAGGGCAAAGGAAAATCTTGTGTATAAGGCAAAGACATGGAATTGGGGGAGGGGTGGCTGTGCCATCAGTGCATATTTTCAAACAGTTGACATACGGTTCCATTTTCCTTGTTATTTTATTGCATTGTGATTTATACAGACCATTTCTT